CAATTTGCCCTGGGGGCAGATGCTGCTCTTTGCTCTAGAGCTGGTTGAGAATCTGATGTGCAGTACTGAGAGCTTGGTGCCATTCAAAGTCCCTATATGCAGAAGAGCAAAGGGTCACAATCCTCTTCATTAGCTCTTAGAAAGAGGAGGGGAGCGAGTGCATGGCAGCCAGCCTAGGAATTATTGATTTCTATTTCACTGGAGATGAGTACAAGGAAACAGAGAAAACAGGGCTTGGGCAGATGCCAGAGTCTTGGCAAATGTAGAATGCTCCACTGTCTGTGTGCACACTGAGTCCAATCAAGAACCCAAATGATAAGCAGAATTATTTTTGTGATGTAATTGGGCAATGAAAGAGGCTTTTTGTTGCTACTGAAGAAACAGAATGCAGGCAAGTATTAGGACAGGGTCACAATAATCAAAAGAGTGTTAGTTTTTGAGGGACAGCTAGGAGGCTTCTCGCTTCTGCATAGCTGCAGTATGTCGCATTTTGCATTGCATTTGGATCCTTTTAATCAAAAGGGGGGAAGCTAAACTACTGCAAGCACCAATTGTCCGAGGAATACATTTCGTCCTGCCACACCTTGCATAAAAAAATTGTACCTATACAATTTTTGACCTTGGGCAAGATCAGGCTAGTAAATGAATTCTGAGAACAGTGGTTGTCAAAGTGTTTTCACAAGTTACAGCCGGGAACAAACCAGGCATTATCTGAAGGGGCCCACACATACCAAGCTAGAATGGACAACTCATCCAAAGAGTGGTAGCCATGCAGTTCATGCAGACGACGCCTTCAGACAACTAGGCTCAGTTTACACTGTTGTCTGTGACTTCCAATGTAGTCCCCCAGGGCTCTGAACTTGGATACGTGTATTTCCAGCATGGGTGAGAGGATGTATCATATGAAGTAGACATAGATGCAGATTCTACTGCCATGAGGGAGAAGGGGCACTTTTTAAAAAACATTCTCCTCTGTCACAACAATCAAATGCACCAGACTACACATGTGCTTTCAGGTCACACAATACATGCTACACATAGTCCAGGAAGCACACATGCCCTGGACAGGGCCTTGAGAAGGATCTTGGGGAAGCCATCTGACAGGGTGAACTAGCTCTTATTTCTTCTTCCTTGGCAGAAGCCATTGAGTTCTGGAAAAAATCTACTGGCCAGCATGATAGACGGTAGCCATTTCCAAAAGAGGAAATGCATTTTCAAAACAGCCAGACAAAACAGTCTGTTGATTTGCATAAAATTTGTATATGCTAGTTTATATAAAACTGTAAACTTGGACACTGCTATAGTTTAGAGTGCAATTTTGGGCATTGTGCTCCTAGTCAACAGAGGGTTCCAAGGCTGCAGAGCTGGGCAGGGCAGGACGAATGACCGAGGCAGCTCTTCTGTGTTTCATATAGAAATATAACACCACATCCGGACATAGAAGACTGTGGCCAGGTGACCTGTGTCTGCTGTCCATCCGCCACTGTTGATGAACAGTTCCAAGCCTTCCTGCTCTCCCTTCTGATGGTGTTCTGCCAGACTGGAATTGGACAGCCTTTGAAAGGGAAGGCTGCCCTCTGCAAAGTAGGGCATGTGGATGGATGTGAGTGATCAGAAGCAATGACCAGTGCCTATTTTCCAAATGGAAATGGCTGCCAGCATTTTCCATGAACATTTACTAACATTCTTCTGTTTAGGAATATACAGTGCTGGGAAATCCATTTTGTTTGAGCCATTGTGACTTTCACCCCATGTCCAATCTGCCAATCAGAAGTGGAATGTGATGGATTTGGGGGAAAGTGCGTGGAGATGTCCATGAATTAGCTGCACACACTGTGAACTGAAATGTGCATGTTTGTAGTGTAATTTTGCACATGTGGTGATTTGCAAAAAAATAGGTGTTTTGTACAAATTGGGGTCTGAACCTTTAAATTTACATAAACAGGTTCATGTTGTTTTTACCATTATTGCATTTACAAATCTGTTATGTAACCTTGAGCACATATCCTTGTCGGTTTCATCCTCCCACCAAATAGTCATTACCTAGCTATACTTGCTACTTCAAAAACAAAAAACCCTTATCAGTGTCAATTTTGTCCAGTTTAACATTAGTTTGCCACTAGGGTTTTCTGTTAGGGTCACATAATTTGCACATCTCAAATACTTATTTTTTACTAAGCATTTTCAGGTAGTTTTCAGCTCCTATGACCTCTGCAAACAAATTTATGGTTTTTCAATCTCGTTTCTATATTATGCATATATCTATTTACCTAGCTACACACACACACACACACATATGGTAATGAATGTATTCCAGCAAATACTATTCAATGCATACAAAAAACCAATGCTGATGGATTTTTGCTTCTATTTCCTAGCAAGAAGGTAGGTCCTGGTGGTGGTGGAGCTAGTTTTCAGCCCTGTGAAAGTCTTGACTTTGCACAACTTTGAGATGCATGCAAATTTGGGGGTCTGTAAGTTGCATAAATTTCTCAAGACTTTTTCTTTTTAGCACATGCAAGTTGCAAGCCATTCTAAAAGTGGAAATCTGAGGGCTGGCTCAACTTGCATCAGACCATTCAGTGCCAGCATGAAGAAAACAGAACAGAGTTCAGGTGATCAATTCAGGAAAACCTGTCAAATTTTCACATCCCAAACAGATACCTCACACATCTTCCTTTGCTGAGATTGATTAGATTTATATCCAACTTTTTTCCTTACAACAAACTCAGAGTGACTTATATAATTCTCCTCTTCCTGCTCTAAATCTTATCCTCACAAGAACAACTGTGTGAAGTTGGTTGGGGTGAGAGTCTGGGACTGACCCCAAGTCACCCACTTGGCTGCATGGCCGGGTGGTGACTAGAACCCAGATGGCCTGAGTCAGTGTCCAGTGCTCTTAACCACTACACCACACTGGCTCTCAATATATCCTGGATTGGCCAGGGTTTCCGCCTCTGATGGAATAAAGATACGACCAAAACCACTGTGCAAGATAGCTCAAGCAAAGCTGTAGGGAAGGTCAGCAGGCATGGCTCACACAGTAATAGCAATTCTTGAATTCTATTATCCTTTGTTTTTGATGCTGGCCACCACTAGATAGAGCTGCAGCAACGCCGTAGTACAGTCCTTGTTGCAGTGGTGTGAAGCTACATTGCATTCCAGCTCAAAGAGGGAAAGTAATGGGTATGTACCACTCAGCAGCTTATAATAATGTTGTAATTGGCTGTGAGAAATCCAGGCATTCATCCCAATCTGTATTAACACAGTTTATTAGAGCTTTTCTCTGTGCTTGGCCCACTGCCAGACCTCTTACTCCTTGTCCATCAAGGGATTATCCAAGCTTGCAAACACATTTCGTTTCCTCTCTAACTGCACCTGGTCTGCTCAGCTATTGTCCTAATCTGGCTACACACATGCAGTCAGAAAACCAATGGCAATCAAGGTTTGGGAAGGAGGCCTGCCTGTACTTCTCCTTAAACTGCAGATGGAGATGACTGCCAGTTTCTGACTGGGGCTACAGAATGGCTTGTAACAGTGTACACAGCACCTATCTGCACCTGCACTAACTGGCCCAGCCTGAGCAGAGACAGGTAAACTCAGCTAGAAGCCAAAATTTATTTCAGGGAAGCTCCTGGGGGCACATTTCAGTACTGCATGAGACACAAGGAGACAAAATTAGGAAGGCTAAAATGCTGGCCTGTTCTAGCTTAAGGTTCTTATTGCCAGAAATGAAGCCTTAGGAGAGGCATTTCTGCTGTTCAGAAGCAGGGAATGAACCACACATGTGCTGGGAAACTGCCAAATGATCAGCAGATGGGGAAAAGGGGGTAGGACCAGAGAACCGGAGTTGGGACCCCAGACCAGCTGGATTTTGTCTCTGGGCTTCAGGTTCAACATACTTGAATGAGCAACATATGCAAAGAAGCCTGTTTACACGAGGGACTCCCTCTTATTTGGGGGAAGTTACTTGTCTTACAGCTGTTATAGCTTTCTCTACCTTCTATCAGACAACAAAAGAATAATTATGTTTTGCAGCTCCACCAAGGGTTGCGTCCTCTGCGCAGCGAAACATCTTGAAATTCCTCCTTCCTCACTCACTACATCATACACCTTTATTCCTAATTAATGACCCAGCTTGCCTTGTTCATATTCACTCATCTGAATGAGAGCTCTTGTTCAAGTCATCAATGGGAAGCAAACAGCAGCAAAGCAATTTATCCATTTACTATCCCTTTATTTTGATTGTGCACACAAAGGTATGCTTGCAGGATGTAACAGAAGGACAGCACAAGCATGCACCCTTCAGAATACTGATCTGGTATTGCTGGATTACACTATTCCCCTGTAAAGTTGTTATCAATAACTGGAGGAGAACCTAACCAAGGGCTTTGGCGGGGAGACAGCTGCCTTGACTAGGTCCTAGTTTAAGATTATCATTAAAACAGGTTGTGCACATTAGTCATAGTTCTTCTGAACCAACAGACATGGTCTCACTGTCGTTTCTCTGCCGCTTAGGCAACAGAGAACCTCCTGCAACCCCGAGGGGCCATTTTCTCTATTTTAAAAGCCCCTTTATAGCCCAAATAGCAAAAATGCAGGAAGCATCAACATTCCTTTCAGGCAACTTCCACCTCAAACTTGGCTTCCTTCATCAACCAACAAAGGATGTTCAAGCTTTGCAACCGAAAGGGTGCTCCTCTGCCCTGCCTTACTTGACACAAACATTTCCCCCCTCGAGGTTAGGCCTCATGGCCCAGAATACACCAAATACAGTCTCGGAAATGCCCGCACTATTTCAAACAAATTGCTTGGATCTCCCAGTGCCGTTGCCATGACACTACTCGAGCCATGCTCACCATCTATAAGGAACAGTCGGGCGATATGAACATAAAGAGGCCTTGTGCAAAGTGCGAGAAACTGCTGGAAGGCTTGCCTGCCCAAGATAAAACCAGGAAGATAACATGACGCGAATAAAGCCAAGAGGCAACTCTTTTTACCTGGTAGTAGTAATCCACATACTCTGTCTCATAGTGCAGAGGCCCAAAGCTTTCAACTGACAATGCATCCTTCAGTAACTCTTCACAGCCTGAAAATAAGATGAAGAGGCCAGGTGTTCACAACAGAATCATTGGAATAGTTTGGATCAGAACATGTGCACAGGTCTCATGAAATGGCTGCCGTGGGAGGCATGGCAAAAGATAAGTAACTTTCCCAAAAAACAGAGTACGAGGCAGAGGCAGGCCCTCAGGCCCAATTCTATGCCACAGCAATTCCTGCAGTTGGTTAGAAAACATATCACGAGAAACAAAAAGTGGGAGAGCAGGCCTGGCTGGAGTTGTGGAACTTCTTTCTGTCTGAACATGCACAGGATTGTGTCCCTATTTTTTTTCTTGATGACCACCTCATAAAATAATATCCACCCTTACTTTTTCCTGATATAACCTTGCATAGGGAAACTAGTAACAATACCAATGCATACGAATAATATATAATATTTGGTGTTCTTATACATCTCTGCTGTGTGACCTGGAGTTTGAGAGTTCCATGGATATTTCTTAATCTCTGGCTGAAATGTACGAAATCTTAAAGGGGAAATACGGACAAGAGAGACTGGGAAGCAATTTATTTTCTTGCCTCTCCTTTATTTGATTTAAATAAACCAATAACTCTTTGGCTGTCAGTGGACATTAAGGTATCCTGTTGCCCTTACCTATGGTGGAGGAAGCAGTCCTCTTACCAAATGTCAATCTGCTTGACTTTTTTACAAGGTCTCAGGGATTTGCCCTCTTTGCCTTTGCCTCAGGCATGAGAATGTCTTGGGCCAGGCCTGAACCAAGCTCAGGTGTGCTTTTTTTAAACCAGTTGCTGTGTCTCCACTCCAAGTGTCCAAGCTGAATATAGAAATATAATATAATAAGCTTGCCCAGTTCCTCATGAAGCCAATTACCATGCTTTCAGTACTTGAGCTATAAGAAAGGGCACAAAGAGGCCAGGTTATTTTTAAAATCAGCAAGTGATTCGCTTGGTGTCTAAAATGTGAAATTCTCCTTCTCCTCAAGAAATCATGGAACTAGGAAGGCTGCAATTACCCTATGGTGTTTCTCTCCATAATTTATTCTTAAATAGTGACATGTCCTTTTAACAAGGCCTGATCTTTCCAATTTCAAAGCGGGGAAGCCAAAGAAAGCAGAACAGAGTTATCAGGAAAACTGCATACCAAATTATGCAGATTATTCACTCTGCATTCAAAAGAGGGGGAGGGGGAGGGGACGATCACATTGGGAGAGAATTATATGGCTTGACACCCCACAGTGGGCTTGCTTGCACAATCCAGCAGCGCACCAAGCCTAATTTATTGCCTGGCGGACTGTGGCATGAGTTGCTGGCGATTTTGAGTATGCAGGCCACAAATGCATAGTCAGGTCATCTCAACCTGGCAGTGCTGTGTTGCTGGCATGGTCCAAAAACCAGCCGCCACCATAAAACACCCCATGTGGCAGCAACTCACCCTCGCCAGGTTCAGGCGAAAAGAGGTGCAACCATGGCTTGAATAGTCAAAAATTACCTGGCACACGCCAGTCACCCACCATGGCTTAGATAAGACACTGTGGGCTGTGGTGATCATACAAACCCAGGTACTGGCTGCTTAGGCAAGTGAAAATCTCTTGGAAAATGAAAGGAGGGGGGAGCCTTCTAAAGGAGTGTTTGCTTTTCCTCTTTGCTTTGGCACGCAGTCAACTCATAGCCGTGAGATGTAGAGTGTGGAAGCAAATGTCAGGTGCATTACAAGCCATCTGAAGGGGCCTCTTTCAGGCAATGATAGGCACACCTCTCCTGATGCTAAGTGATGGCTATAAGAGAGAGAGAGGAAGGAAGGAAGGAAGGAAGGAAGGAAGGAAGGAAGGAAGGAAGGAAGGAAGAGGGGAAGCCTGCTATGAAACAGTGGCAGAACTGACCCAAGGCATTTGCTGCCTGAGGCCCCCTCCCCAACCAAGGTAACCTGACTAGGAGGTTGCACTATTAAGAATGAGAGCTGAAAATTGCTCATAGTTCCAGAAAGTATAAATAAACCCTAAATACTTCAGCTTTTTTTTTGGGGGGGGGGGAGTTCACTATCCTCACTAGAGTTCACTTTTGCAAACTTCTTTCTACTCTTCCTTCATATAGATTTCAGCTCCATGCCACAACTAAGTTTCCTTTTGTTCCTGTTCATTGTAAAACTCCTTAGATTCAGGAGCACTGGAAAGGAGAGGGGTGGGGATCAGAGGCTTATGCATTCAAAAGTATCATTTCAAATGCTATGTAACTTTTTAAACATGCATTGAGTGGATTTGAGAGGAATGCTATTATATTTCTTCTGCTGGTAATCCTACACCCATTAACTTGGGCATAAGTCCCATTAAACACTGAGACTGACTTCTGAGACAAGCTGTTCCTAGTCACATCTTGTGGAGCAAACACATACATTAAAAAGTGGTGAGCAAAAGAAAATCAGGAGAAAAATATAGCAGGAATGGCAGAATACGCAGGATACAAAGTTGAATTGGAGCATATACACTTAAACAGGCAGGTGGTTTTTCAAACATGATCAATTTGAGATGGGTAACTTTTCATTAAAAAAGTGTATGTTTTTCTTTCTTTAAAAACACATTTAAAGAGGGAAGGGACGCTAATGTGCATAGGTGAATACTGAGAGTAAAGGTCAAAAAGTTAGATCACTTTGAGATTCATTTGATCAGAATGAATTTTGAAAAGCAACGATGGCATTAAGAATGTGCATCCCTAAGCAGCAAGCAGCAACTTTCTTTTCCACCCTTAGGAGCCTCCATCCGGTACCACAGGCAGTCCTTGTGGAGCTGCAGCTCAAGCCAGTCCATGCGTGTTTATGCTGAGCCAACCCTTCCCCACCGGAGGAGTCGTGCTGTGTGTGCAGAGCCCCAGGACACGTGTGACCCTCCCTGCAAGGCCAGCCAGCTGACAAAGCAGCCCTCCTCTCCCACTGTTTCTGTGGGCTTTCCCCATTCTTCCTCCCTGTGGTGCTTCCAGTGCCCTGCAAGAGTGAGGGAAAAGAGGTTGAAGTCTGAAGACCCACCCGCACGGCTGAAGCAGTGCAGCAGGTTCTTCTTGCCTTGGGGAGAAGGCAGTGAGACAACAGAGGGGCCAGGACCTGTGGGTGAACCCATTTCACAAGACTCAAACGCTGCTGTAGTGGGAAGGGAAGGTGGGGTCTAGCAGGTGGCCAGCAGGCAGACCAACCCCCGTCTGCTGCTTGGCCTGGTTTACCGCCTCAGCAGAAGCTTCACTTGCCTTCCCCAACAGATGGGCTCCGAAGCAAAGAAAAAGTAAGGAATGGGGGAGGGGAGATGAGGGTACAAGCAGTGCTTGCAAAAACAAGGTGCTGAAATCTTTGGGGTGGTTCAGTTCCTTCCACGGTGGAGCACTTCCCTTTCCAGGTGCCATCATACACTCACTGCTTCCTTCCTTCTTCCCTTGGGATAGTGATACAGTTAGTAAGAGAGGTGTCACAGGAGTAGCTGACCAGAAAGTCACACAATCTGGAATATGTGACATGTGAGGAGCTTGGCTTGACTAGGTGGGCTGTGGGAAGTTGGGTATCTCCTGAGGCTTACGTGTTTTAGAGTGGGATAATGAACCATCGTGGTGCATTGTGGCGAACTATGGCACATTCCCAAAGTGCTCCAATCACCTGTGGCACAACTAGCGCAGAACCGCACGCTGCTCAGAACTTCCAAGGTGGCCTCCGGATCATGACTGGGTTTTACCCTGTGTGGCCACAGTGGAGTCTCCAAGCATGTGCGCAGGCCTCCTAAAGCTGACTCTAGAAGCATAATCCTTTAGGTCTGGCAGGCTCCTCAAGAGACACCCTCAACAATGCTGTGGCCTGTACCTTTGGGGGCACTGCTAGCCACCCAGCGGCCAGCCACATGCCTGGTGTTGAAATTCCCTCCTCTGGTGTTTGCCAAGGGCACTGAGTCATCTTCCCCATGCAGTGGTGCTCAGTGATGGTACCTTTCAGTTCATGTACCACCTGCAGGCTCAGTCAGGCCAGGGGACAGGCAACTTGTGGCCCTCCAGATGTTTGGGTCTACAACTTCCACCTTCCCTCACCATTGGCTATGCTAGCTAGGGCTGATGGGAGTTGCAGGCCTAAACATCTGGAGGATCACAAGTTGCCCACCCCTGATTTAGACAAAGAAATAGGTAACAGTGGTAACATCTACTTTTCCATGTTGAATTTCCATGGAAGATTGCTATTCTTCCAATTGCATTTGGAAGACAATTGGAAGGAGCTTTGCACAACGGCAGAATTCATTCCTCTATTACTTACTTATTCTGACCTCAGCAGCGGAAAACAGCTTGTATGAGTGTAACCTGATGCATATTGTGCTAGTTTCGCAAGCAGCACAGTAATGGTTTTACACAGTAATTATCATAATATATTTCTAGTTGTTATTTTTCTTTCTTTACAAGGGTCCTTCCATGGTCCTGTTGCTGAAGGTAATTTAATTTTCTGTTTATACCCTTTAGATGTTACAACAAAAGCTCATTAGCCCTCAAGCTGTCTCATGCCACCGTGTCTCCAGAGAGTCTTTGAAGCATAAATGAGCCTCAGTCACACAGCTAAGCTCGCTGCAGGAGCCTGGAGTAGGAAGGGGTGGAGGGCTTGCATTTGTTAATGTGAGGTATCAGGAAGGAAGGAAGAAAACAGTCAAACAATAGTGAATGCAAAGTGTGTAATGGAGGGCATCCATTACTGTAATTCATTATAGGGACAATATCTCCAGTCATCAGTCAGACCCTCCTTTCCATAGTAAGCCATACACAACCTCACGGTAACAGTACAGCAGTTCCTTTAGCCAAAGGCTTATGAAGATAATGAAGGATTAATGGCAATTCATTCCACTCCAGTGGAAGAAAAGAAGGGGACTCTGGACGGACAAAGGCCTGGCAAACATGGCCATGCATGGTTGTTCCTGTCATGTTGGCCTCCCCTACAGAAGGATGGTGGGGCCCTCCAGAAGGATGTGGTGGACTGCAACTCCCATCAGCCCTAACCAGCAGAGCCAGTGATGAAGGACTGTGGAAGTTGCAGTCCAACATCTGCAGAGCCACATGTTCCCTATCCCTGGATAGAGTTATATTGATCTTCAAGTCACCTGGCCTGGTGTCCCATTAATGCTTGCTGCCTTGCAGCCCAAACACAGCTTTTATATGGGGGACAAGAGACAAGTTCAGGGGTTTGACATATGGTTCAAGTAAATAGGCAAGCTACTCTCGGAGGTCTCCAAGGGAGCCAGAAGCATGTGCTGTCAGCATTCTGGCTGCCGTGGAAACCTCCGTGTGTAGCTTCCATGCAGATGTCAAAGGGAAGGGCTGCTTACAGGTAGGTGTGGGCCCACTCCTGGCTTACATTTCTATTTTTACTGTTAAGATGAATGACCAAATAGGATTGAGGCAATCGCACATTCTTTTCCTTCTTCCTCTCCATTCCTGCTGTCTCCTCCTCTCTTTCCCCTGCCACACAGCAAACATATACTCCCAGTGCAAGAGGGTGGATGTTAGAACCAAGAAAGAAGCAGTGGTGGAAGCATTATTGCTTTACACTGCCCTCTCCCTCTCTCTGTGCCTGTGCGTGCATATGAGGATAGGCCTGCCCCATTCCTCCTGATCCAGCACCTTCCAAAGCTCTTCCATGGGTTTTGCAGATTTGTCTTTTCTGGGTGGGAGATTTGCCTGTCTTAGCACTTGTCTTTTTGTAGCAGTTCATTAGTAACATCTGTCACAGTGTACCCCAACCCAGTGCCCTCCATGGACTTCACCACCTACAATCCTCAACTACTGGCCGGGGATGCTGGGAGTTGCAGTCCCACACATCTGGAGGGCACCAGGTTGGGGAAGGCTGTTATCCTTCTTCCAAAGAACTCAGAATGATGTGCATGATCTTCCCCAGTGAGCTCTGATCCAGGCACATTTTTAGAGGCTTGCTGGGCTGGTCCCGAAGTCCGTCCGGTTCTGCATCCTGCATCCCAAAGCGGTCCCAGCCACTAGTAAGCTGGGCACTGGTAAGTGCCCTTGCCTGCTCCTGTCCTCCAGCAACTACCCTGACAAGCATTTTTGCTGAGCTCCATGAACAGAACTTCCCCAGGTCCCATTTGCCAAGCCAGATGAGCTGCTGCTTAGCCATGAATGTCACGTCTTCATCTTCCTTTCTTTACAGGCACCCTGGGAGGTTTGCATGGAGAGCGCAATACAGTCAGGTGAATGCATTGACCCAGGCGAGTCTCAGACATGTATACATATGTTTTCCTTATGCAGGCGCTTCCTTGGCTGGCAGCCTAGAAAATGCCAATGTGCGAAATTAATGCCTCACTATTAGATAGGAAAGAAGGGTTTTGATCCTACCTGACTGCACTGCAAGATTCAGAAATGTACGTGGCTACTTGTCCCTGGCTTGGAAGAAGACGAACAAGGTGGAAGAGGAGATGATCATCCATGCAACAGAAGCACGACTGCAGAATGTATGGCAGGTCTCTGGCCAGGGCTGAGCTAAGGTGGCTCATCAAGGACAGGTCTGATGGCTGCCAAATGTCACTGTTCAGAAGGCAGCATGATCGAAAGCCAATTACACAGTTGATTGGAAGCGTTTTGTTTGGATGTTTAATTGCCTTTGACCTTGCCCTGAGAGACTGAGGGTGCAAAAACAAAGGGAGGGCGACTTTTTAATCTGCTTTTCTCCCGGAGATGATCTAACGGCTGCCGCTCACAACCAGCGCTCTCTGCCCAATGTCTTAAGGGCAAATGTACATCTTCTGCTTTTCAGAGATGCGCGTAAAGGCCAAACTCGATATGGTGGAACAGGCACGTGTGTTGTGCCCATATCTATGCTCTGTTCACATATAAAGCGAGGGCAGCAAGGGTCTACCACTCTGTCTCTACAGGGGGTGGGCAATCTAGGGCCACAGCTTCCATGTTCCCTCACCACTGGTCACCCTGACTGGGGATGATGGGAGCTATAGTCCAAAATATCTGCCATGCACTAGATGGCTTACAACATGGTATTGCTGCATGAAAAGAAGAGAGCGGGCAATACCATGTTGCCCTACGTTCTGCAGCTTTCCGCAGCTTCCCGCCATGCCAGTTCAACTCCTGGTATCAAAGCTGGGCCAGGAGAAAGAAGCCTCCATGCTGGAGAGCAGTGGGGTAAGAAAGTGGCAAGGGGGGTTTCACCCTGCTGCCCCTCAGGCTCTTTCCTGTCTCTCTTTCAGTGGGCCCCTGCCCCTGCTTTGTGCAAGAACAAGGTGTACAGGGGGCCAGAACACACCTGCGCAGATGTACAGCTGGGATACAGCATGTGCCTCAGGTCAGACTACAGCCATGTACATGGAGGAGCCATAACGGCAGCCGAATGTCCAGGGCCACCGTGGGCTTTTGTGTATGACCCCTCTCCTTCCCGTCTTCAGCTCTGCATGCGTGCAGGTTGCCTGCTCCAGGCGTTGTCCTTTGGGCTGCGTGATGGGGATGTGATGGGGGCAGAGCCACTGGGACTGGGCCCTTTCCCTTCCAGCACTTCAAAGTGCATGATGCACAGAGCCACCAAATAGGGCTCCTTGTTTCAGTGATTCCACTGCGGCACAGTGAAACATGCACATTATCAAGGTTTTCAATATTTGCCTCAGGAGTTTGATTGGAGGCACTTACTCCTGTAGTACCAGTGGAGCTACAGATAAGGGGATGGAGAAGGAAATCACCCAGAGGTTCATTAAGTTGCCTTGAACATCCTGGAGGAGGAGGTGAGGAGGAGGAGGAGAACAGCACCTACCTTTCATAGCAAACACTCCATGACAGAAATCTTTGAAGTTAATCTTGCCCAGGGCATTTGGATCCAAGTATTTGGCAAATTTTTCCACCTTGAAAAAACAGTAGAATAAACAATTAGGGAATGAGCAACATCTTTTTCCAGGAAAGTGAGGGTGGGAAAGGAGACTAAAATATTAAGGAAGAAGGCAATGTGAGTTATATACCCAGAGTTACAACAGCATAACCTGGTCCTAAGGATGCTTCGATTCCTGCCTTGTGCTCCCTGAAGAAGAGCACATGCAGGAGCACATACAGATTCAAACACAGAGACCCATTTTAATCCAATGGGTATTCAGCAGGTATCTGATGTAGAGGAGTGGGGTGGCAAAAGCTGAGAGCTGTGGCAGGGCTGAATGATAACTGACAGGGATGGAACCTCATGAATTCACCAAATATTTAAACTGCATCCCCTCGGAAAATGATATGCTAAGCCGTCTTAGCATATCTGGGGAGCAGCCCGGTTACTCCCTGCCTTCTTCACAACATAAGCCTGAAAATTTCCATTGGCTTTTTACGTACAAATACTTGAGGGGGATCATTTAGGCTGGTGATCACAAAAAGAGAGAAAAAGGAAAGAGGAAGAGAACCTCTGCAACTTTAAGGCTGCTCTGTGTACGAAAGATTAAAAGGACTCCTAGAGGATCTATTCAGGATGCACCGTCAGGTTTGAAAGGCTCAGATGCGTTGCTTCCCGTCTGTACAGAGAGCAGGTATCCAGGAGCTGCAACCGGCCAGCGTGTTTGGAATGCACATATACATGATGCGATAGATTTTCAACTTCAAATGTGATGACGTACACCATGTGCATAATGCCTGCACAGTCCATGCTTACTCTGTGGAATGGCTCTGAGAGGACCCATACAAGTGAATGAAGAGAACCGAATATTGTGGCTGGAACTGGGGGCAGTCTGGAGATGGTCTGAAGGGAAGTTCGACAGTGCACCCCAATCTCAGTATACTTGGGGAGCAGGAAGGCCTCGAGGCATATGCAAGCAGCTCCTTCCCATACTGTCCTGGACGCAGTTTCAATGGAAAGATGATACACAAGCAGGAGCTGATCCCAGGCAGTTTGGAGCGTCTCAGGTGAGCCAGTCAGCAAAGAAAGTAGCCATGTTCTCATCCAGCCATTACAACCTGGCACACTGCATATGGGTTCAGCTACAATGCCCAGCAATCCCCAGCCAGCTATTCTGGGAGTTGTAGCCACTGGCCTGAGGGACTGATAAGGCGTTGTCCCTTGTCTGCATCCCTTAGCTGTGGCCTGGGCTGTCCAGGGACTCCCTTCCCTGAGACGCAGAGGTTTTTGTTTGTTTTTTGTGCGGTGCTTTGCTTTGTTTTTCCTCCAATTTAAATTTAAGTTTATTTTATCAATTTAAGTTTATTTTATCCTTGTGTGTGTGTGCGAGTGGGTTTTTGTCTGGGAGAAGTGGGCGAGTGAGAGGAACTGCAGGACAAACAAGGCAGGGGACCAAGGTAAGGTCTCGAAAGGGATACCGATGGCAGACCAGGAGATGGCCTTGGCGGGAGTCACGGGTGTTGCTGTCCACTGCGACATGTTCGCCCTTCTCCCCCAGGAGAGACAGGGTTACACTTGCCCTTGGTGCAAGTTGGAGACCCTGCTAGAGGAGGAGGTGAGGTGCCTGAGGGCCAAGAGAGCTCTCCAGGCCCCCCAGGAGCAGCCCCCCTCTGGACAGAGGGTTGAGGGAGAGGCCACAAGAGGAGCAGCCGCGGAGACATGGAGGTATGTCACACTTCTCCTGGCACCAATCTGGAGCTGGGAAACAGGTTCTCTCCACTTGGGAAGGCTGGGGCTGATGAGGCAGGACCCCCAGCCTGGGACGACAAGCGGAAAGGGGGCCGCTGCAGGAGAGGCGAGGGCCAGGGCACGGCCGCCCACCACCACCAGGAAGACACGTCGGCGGGTGATTGTTGTTGGGGACTCCCTGCTGAGGAGCACTGAGGCAGCGGTGTGCCGCCCCGACCTGGAGACAAGGGAGGTTTGCTGCCTGCCGAGCGCACGCATCCGGCATGTGAAGGACAGAGTGGAGCGTCTTGTTCGCTCTGGGGGTCACCAGCCGCTCCTGGTGATCCATGTGGGCACAAACGATGTAGCCAGGCAGGGTGTGGTTGGGACCACCAGGGACTTCGAGGCCTTGGGGAAGAAACTCAGGGAGCTGAAGGCCCAAGTGGCCTTCTCGTCAATCTTACCAGTCCGGGGATTTGGGCCAGGAAGGGACAGGAGGGTCTCCAAGGTGAACGACTGGCTTAGGGTGTGGTGCCAGAAGGAACACTTCGGGTTCCTCAACCACGGCACTCGGTTTCTTGCCAATGGACTTCTGGCAAGGGACGGGTTACACCTCACAAGGATGGGGAAAAGGTCCTTTGGAAATGCTCTAGTGAGCTTCGTCCGGAAGACTTTAACTGAGCCAGGGGCAGGGTGGGTTCAGGCCCCACAGAAATATGTCTGCACTGGACAAGTGTGGGGGGGGAGATCAGGGCTCTGGGAGCAGGGTTTTAGAGGTACTCCAGGGACTGACAGGACTCCTACAGAGAGGGGCCAGGTATCAGGGAGGATGGGAGGAAGGAGGAGGCTGGGAACTCCAAGGAAAGGAAGCAGTGGGAAGGAGTTGAGGTCCATGTACACCCATGCTAGGAGCATGGGCAATAAGCAGGAAGAGCTTGAAGCTCTCCTGGGAATAGGAGGGTATGACCTGGTGGGAATCACAAAAACTTGGTGGGATGAAGGGCAAGTCTGGAATGTGAACATAGAAGGGTATCACCTTTTTAGAAAGGACAGGAAGGGAAGGAGGGGTGGGGGCGTGGCTTTATACGTCAGGGAAGGGCTAGGATGCAGTGAGATAGAATGTAGCACAGATGGGGATTCGGTAGAGGCAGTCTGGGTGAAACTTAGGGGTTTTGACAGGGAAAGAGACCTCACAGTGGGGGTATGTTATCGCCCTCCAGGTCAACTTGAGACCCTGGATGATGTCCTGACAGGCCAGATTCTAAGGATATCTCGGGGGAGAGACACAGTAATTATGGGAGATTTCAATCTCCCGGATATTACTTGGGAGACTCACTCGGTGGTGACAGCCAGGTCACGTTGCTTCCTAGAAGCTATAGAGGGAGGGTTTTTCACACAGAGGGTCCGAGAGGCGACGAGGGGGGAAAACATCCTTGACTTGGTCTTGACCTATAGGGAGGAGCTGATAGATGAAGTACAGATTAGGGCAGTTCTGGATGCGAGTGATCACTCCATCCTTTGCTTTGAGATCAGGGGACTGGAGACGTGCAGCAGGTCGAGCACTAGAAGCTGGGACTTCAAGAGGGCCAACTTTGGCCAACTGAAGGCCAGACTGGGGAAAGCCTCCTGGGATAGGTTACTGGAAGGTAAGCGAGTTGAGGAGGGGTGGAGAGCAATCAAAAGGGAGGTTTTGGAGGCGCAAGCCTTGACAATACCTCTAGTCAGTAAGGTGGGGAGGCGGAGGAGAGTGCCGCCATGGATGCGAAAGGAGGTGGTTAAAGGGATTAGATGAAAGAGGAACCTCCATAGGAAATGGGCACGGGAGCAAATAGACAAAAGGGTATACCAGGAGGAGGAGGCCCGTTGCAGAAGAATTCTTCGCAAGGCTAAGGCTGATTACGAGCTGAGACTTTCCAAGAATATCAAGAGCAACAAAAAGGGCTTCTTTCAGCATGTAAATAGGAAGAGGAAGGGGAGACAAGTGGTGGGACCACTAAATAAGGAGGAAGGAGATCCAGTGACTGATATGACGGAACAGGCACAGATACTAAATGACTATTTTGCCTCTGTGTTCTCCCCAAAGCAGGACGGGGGATATCCACATAGGAGATTAGATGAGGCCGGGGACTTAGGGGCACAGGTTAGAGTCACCTTCCTTGAAGTCGAGGGGCTCCTCAGGGCATTGGACATTACAAAGGCACCAGGCCCTGACGGGTTATACCTGAGAGTATTTAGAGAGTTGGCAGGGGTTCTCTCAAGCCCGCTGGCCTCCATTTTTGAGGCCTCGTGGAGAACGGGTGAAGTTCCAGAGGACTGGAGGTCCCAATCAGTGGTCCCAATGTTCAAAAAGGGTAGTAGAAGGGACATGGGGAATTATAGACCTGTTAGCCTTATGTCCATTGTACGAAAAACAATGGAAAGGCTCATAATAGAGAGAGATCTAGTGATGCTAGATAGGGAAGGGAGGCTGACAGTCACACAACACGGCTTCCGCAAAAACAGGTCCTGCCAGACAAACCTTGTGGAATTCTATGACAAGGTTTCAAGATGGCTAGATGGAGGGGATACAGTGGATGTGGTATACCTGGATTTCAGCAAGGCCTTTGACAAAGTGTCCCATGATATCCTGGTGGAGAAACTGAGGAGTTTTGGGATACACCAAAGCACTGTCCGGTGGATTAGGGCATGGTTGACTGACTGAAAGCAGAAGGTAACCATTAACGGGGAATCATCAGGATGGTGGCCAGTGACAAGCGAGGTCCCCCAGGGCTCTGTCCTGGGACCGATCCTGTTTAATCTTTTCATTAACGACATGGAAGAAGGGGTGAACAGTCTGCTGATCAAATTTGCAGACAACACTAAAACTGGAGCAGTGGCCACAACTGAGGAGCAGGTACTCCAGATCCAAAAGCATCTGGACAGACTATGGAAGTGGGCAGGAGACAACAGGATGGCGTTCAATGCGGATAAGTGCAAGGCCTTGCACTTGGGGCACAGGAATAGCTATCATAAATACAGGTTAGGTGACAAGTGGCTGGAGAGCAGCACTTGTGAAAGAGACCTCGGGGTACTGGTTGACTGCAGGCTGAACATGAGTCAGCAGTGTGATGTGGTGGTCAAGAGGGCAAATGCCACCCTTGGTTGCATAGCCAGAAGTGTGGCTTCTAGATCAAGAGAGGTATTACTACCACTTTATATGACTCTGGTGCGCCCACAACTGGAGTACTGTGCTCAGTTTTGGGCCCCTCATTACAGGAAGGATATAGCCAGGTTAGAGTCAGTGCAACGTAGGGCCACAAGGTTGGT